ATTTTAACTTGGGACAATTACAAAAATGTCATTTTTTGTGTGCATATTTGCAAGAATGCCACTTAGGAGTGTCCATTTACAAAAATGTCAATAATTATAGATTTATAAAGCCTATATCTTAAAATTCTAAACCCTAAAAAATATTTTGACACCTAAAACCTCCTAAACACTCAAAACTAAACCCTAATAGAACATAATTAACCCAAACATAAATACTATAAAGAAAAAATAATTTTGAAAAAGTCGCATTTTTGTAAAGATTTTAAAAGTGTGGCATTTTTGTAAAGTGGCACTTGAAAAGTGGTATTTTTTTAAATTTCTCTTTTAACTTTGCCTTGTGTATATAGTTTACAAGATCAACTAAATCTTCGTAGATAAATAATATTATCGGATAAAATGGAAATTAATAATATATAATATTATCAATACAAGAAAGTCATTTTATTTAAAAGAATATAAAAGATATCTCTACTATTATTCAGATTTTATTAAGGTTATTTTATTAATTTTAATAGTCAAAAAGTGTAGTTTTCAAAAACTAAAAATAAAGTGTATTTTTCAAATTTAAAAACACAAAAGGGGTAGTTTTCCAAATTTTCTCATTGTTTTGTAACAGCTTTATTTATTAATATTTTGATACAAATTCTACATATTCCATTAATGAAATAAAGACATAATAAGCATATAGAAATAGAAAGTTAACTATATATTTATTATTGCCCAAATTTAATGGTAAGATTTATTATTAGAATGTTATAATTAATTATTTTTGGCAAATTTATAAATATTCAAGTATGTTTGACAATTGGAGTTAGAATAATCTAATTAAATAATATTGGAGATAAATGTGTTTGGTAATTACTATAGATGAATTAAATAAATAAAAAGACGGTGAAAAAAAAAATATGGAAGTGACACATCATCAAAAGTTTCTTTAAATTCAAATATTTATCTTTTAATATATAGAAGATAAGTAATATTAGAGATACATCTCTTTGGTAATGACTAA